TCGGTTCCCGGTACCGGAGAAAAACCAAAAAAATAAAAAAAATTTAAAAATTAAAAAAAAAAAAAGAAAGGTAACAACATGTCCTATGACTATGCTGCTGAAATCCCACAGACAGCTGCAGAATAAAAACAAAGAAAAAATTCTATGATTACACAAATGGTCATAAATCACTATAACAGACAAAGGATATTTGAATCCATTTTGCTGCTCTGCCATTTCAGGTTCCCTTCCTTTCCTTTCCCTTAAGAGTCTGTTGGGGTTTGTGTCTAAATTGTCTCCCCAAAAGCTCATGTATTCAGAGGCTGTCCCTCAAAAGTTAAATTCATATGTTCGGAGCTGGGCTTTTGGAAGATCATAAGGCTCTAGCTTCATCAGTAGGTGAACCCATCTTCTCTCTCCCTCTATCTCTCTCCCTCCCTCTCCTTCTCCCTCTTCCTCTCCCTCTTTTGCCACACCCTCTACCTTGATGTTTCTGCTTGCCTCAGGCTCAAAGTAATAGATCCAACAAATCACTGCCTGAATCCTCTGAAACTATGAGCCAAAACAAACCTTTCTCCCTTTAGTTGTTTTCCTCAGGTATTTTGTCATAGGGTAAAAAGCTAGTAACACAGAAGCCATGGGTGTCCTCTAGGTCCCAAGGTCCTCTCCTCTGAGGGGGAAGAGGTAAGCACTGCATGTCAGTGTAAGCAAGGCTCTCGGATGGCAGAGGCCACCGACATGCTCCTCAGCTGGCTGAAAATTCACTAGGTCTTACAGTCCACACATGTCCACGGCTCCAGGAACACAGAACATTTTATATGCCCACAATCTCTGGCAAAATCATATGAATTTTTCTAAAGTCATGTATTATATCAAGCAAATACATCTTTCATTTCAAAACCATTTGATCACAGACAGTACAATCACAATTAGGGGAAAGCACATTTTCACACTACAATGTTAAGTAACACAAGGTCAGGATGGTGACAGATGCCCGCCCCTTTACTCAGGGAAATCATGAGACACAGTTTAATACAGATACAACCACCAAACTTTCCTGTGCTGGATACCACTGAAGCATGTGGTATCATACATGATACCACAGTATCATGTATGAATGCTCAAAGTGCTGACTTAAAATCCTAGCCGGGATGGAAGATAATATGCTTCAGAAAAATGCCAGCTGACTCAAGAAGTGACTCAGGGCATGACACAGCCATGACATTGAAAGCACATAAGAATGCTGGAAAAAAATGTTCTTGTAAATGTATGCAATTGGTAATAGGGAATGTAAATTTATAATAACTTTTATTTGAATAAATGTGAATATGCATATCAGGTTAATGCCAGAAATATGTACATTGCACATGTCAATGATTGATGGATCTCTAAAGTGTGTACATGTGAGTTGGTTAAAAAATTACCACTGATGTGAGGGTGTGTTACAGTTCATTCTACTCTCTGAGTGCACTTTATTCCATGCCTCAATGTCTTCTTCTAGTTGGTGTCCCTGTTGAGGACTGCTTCCTTGCTTCTTCTTTCTTGTGTCAGCTACACATGGACCCTAAAACCAGGACAAACACCACCTCCTCCCAGAAGCCACCCACCATCAAACCAGGCCAGCCCCATTTGGCCTCACCATATGATCTCTCCTCCCTCCTCCAGAACTTATCCACTTTGCTGCTCATGCATCCATTTCCCCTCTGGACCATGACCTCCCTGTTGTCCCATAACCCACCCTGAATCTGAGCTGAAGGAATGAGGTCAGTAGATATGCAATGGGTTAAATGATAAATGCGCTGGTCATCAACGCATAAATGAAGGGATGATTCACTGTAGAGTTGACTTCATGGCACTCCCTGCCTGCTCAGGAAAAGTTTTGATAAGAACATCCCATCATGGGAAAAGTCATCTTCAGACTGTGGTTGCCAGTGAACTGAGGAAGATATTGGTAGGATTCACCAGTGTCTCTTCCTCCTGAGTGTATGGATAGATGACAGTCCCTAGTCTGTCATGACTGTCACTACAGCTGGTGGATATAAATTACCAGCCTCTGGGCCTGGTTCATAAATTCTTCCCACCAGATTCTCCACTCTCTCACCCCTTCTTTATCACTGAATTCCAAGCATCTGGGAAAAGAGGCTCAGGTCCTTAAGGATGGAAGAGTTACTGGATCAAATGTGACTTCCTGAATGGATGTGTGGATCAGAATTCCCCACACACCAAGACTCCCCTGAGATTTAATGTGAATAAGGAAAAATGTTTTATTGTATTAAGCCTCTGAGGTTTATGGATCATATTACCAAAATTAAATTAATAATCTGAGATTACTTAGATTGCTCAACAAATTGAAAGTCAATATCCCTTGCAATTTCCTTGAATCAGCAACTATGTATGAAGCACTGACTATGTGGGCACTACTTCAAGATAATAATTAAGAGTCATAGAATCTCTAGTCAAATAGAATATTGTTATGGCTTGTATCTAGATGTGCTCCCCAAAGCCTCATGGACTCATAGTTGCAGCTTTTCAAAGCTGGCTGGACCTAGGGCATGTGATAATGGGATCTAGAATGTGTGATATTAATTAATTCACCAATTGGAATTATCATAGTTCTGGGTGTGGAAAATGGAAGCCACACCTTGGATGTGGGTGGTACCAATTGTTAAGCTTATAGCTTGGATGGAATACAAAGAGAGACAAGGAAGGCAGGCTTGCTGCTGTTGCTGCTGTTCCTGCTGCTGCTGCTGCTATTGCTCTGCTGTTACAGTTTGCTGCTCCTCTGCCTTCTGCCTGCTACAACATGGACTGTTCTCCTGCTATGCTGTCCTGCCTTGGAGCCAGTCAATTATGGACTGACAATTATGGACTAAAACCTCTACAAACTAATAGCTGAAATAAACCTTTTTTCTTTTAACTTGTGGGTGTTGGGTATTTTGTCTTAGCAATGAGAAAATAAGTCAAGTAAGATAAATGGAGAAATATGGAAGTAGACTGAGGTCATCAGAGATGATTATAACAAACATTTCCAATGTCCCTTCCTAAATGCAGCTGAGGCTACCCACCATTTGATTGACAAGTTCTTACCTTGGTTCCTGGGGGTCCAGGTAGTCCAGGTGATCCACGCAGGCCCTGGTGAAATGAATGATTCAAGGTTAATTATAGAGCCCTGTGTGAGCACTGACTGTCCACCAGTGCCAAGCTGGGTGCAGTCTTCAATGAGTAGGGATAGACACATAGGGGACTTTCACTGTGATGTAACTTGAACAAAGGAAACAGAACCTGTTTTCTAACACAGAGGCATGGGGTGTTGTGAGTTCTGACTGCCACCTGCTGCTTCTCTGTGACCATGAAAATATTCTCCACCTCTCTTAGTTTTTCTCCAAAAGACTGACAGTACAGGCTTTCATAAGTAAGGGACAACGTCAGGTTTCAAAGTAGGGCCTGCCTAATTCCAAACCCTGAGCTCTTTTATCTTTACTGTGCTATTGAGACCCAGAAGTGGCCCATGTGAACAGGTTCAATTTCATACTAGTGGGTTTTGCCTGATGCAGTACTCATGGCCAGAATTAAAATTATGAGTCTATTTCAGGAAACACTGCTAAAACAATAACAGGGACACAGCAGCCCTTCTCTACTGTACACCCAGGTTCATTGTGAACCATTTGTTTGCTTAATTGTCTTTCTACAGATTGTGAGCATCTCCAGGGCACAGGCGGTCTAATCTGTCTGTGTCCCCAGCATCTGGCCCCAGCCTGGTATTCAGCAAGCCATCCACATTGTGCTGCACTAGCCAGAAATAGCCATCCCTGTTTATTTGTGGTTTTTCTTTCTAAAGTTTTAGTTACCTGCAGCCAACTATAGTCTGAAAAAATTAAATGAAAAACTCCAAAAATAAACAATTTGTAAATTTTAAATAACTTTTATTACTGTAATTGCTGTACTTTATTATTGCTGTTAACGTTTTACTGTACTTCATATATAAATTAAACTTGTCATAGATATGCACGCACTGGAAGAATACAGGACATAGTCCTACCCAACGTATAGAGGTCTGCAGGTCATGTTGGAACGTGTTCTCTCTTGGATAAGGGTAGAAAACTATACACTAAAGCCCGCTGGTGCTCACAGACCTTTCCTAGCCAGCTCAGTCACTGGCTCTGATTCAGTTTTTGCAGTTTGGTAGTGACTCTGTTATTCCTTTCTGTTTTCTAGTTTTAACTGTGTTTCCTCAGATACAGAAACATGCACTCCTACCCTTAAATTGCCACTTACCGGTTCACCATCATTCCCTTTTCCAGGTGGCCCAGGGACCCCAGGAGTACCAGGATCACCCCTGCGGCCAGCTGGCCCTGGGCTCCCTTCTTCACCTGCAGCTCCCTGGAGAGAAAATTGGACGTTTTTCAGGATTGGGATTCTTCAGAGTTTAGCTTAGCTATTCCATTGTTAATCAGCTTGAGTGGTTTGGTGGGTTTTCTACTTTGTCCTGAAATTTTTAGAAAGCTCAACCTCCAGGTGCATAGAAAAATGGACTGCACAAGTTGTTACAGGTTGAATTGTATCCCTAAAATTCACATGTTGAAGTCCTAATCCTCAGTAGCTCAATGTGGAAAAAGGGTCTTTGCACGTGTTATTAAGGTTAGAATGAGGGTACACTGGACTATGACCCTCCTTGAGACTCATCCAATATAACTGGTTATAATAGTTGAGATCTAAAATGTCCACTCCAAAGTCTCATGTGTTTGGAAGGTGATTTGGTCATGGGCGTGCTAATCCTCATTAGTGGATGCATTGATGAATTCAATAGCTAGATGCAGTGCTAGAAAGTGGGACCTCATCAGATGGATGGGTCACTTTGGATGTGACCTGGAATGGCATATTCCTGTACTTAGTTCTCTCTCACTTCTTCCTGGAAGCCATGGGTTGTGCACCTTCCCCCAACAACACGACTTCTTCCTTGGAACCAGCCAACCATGAACTGAGTCTTGTGAAACCATGAGTCAAAGTAAACCTCACTTCCTTTAATTACAGGAGTTGAATATTTCATCTCAGTGCTGAGCAAGTGACTAACACATTGGTATTCTTTTCAGAAAGACACACCTGGACACAGGCAGAGGGAAGATGATGTGAAGATGCAGGGAGAAGATGGATGTGGAGGAGCCAAGAAGAGTGCCTGGAACAGATCCTTCCCTTACAGTACTGAGAGGGAGCCAACCTTGCCAACACTTGATTTAGGAATTCTGGTCTCCAGAATTGTGAGCTTACAAGTTCCTGTTGTTTAGGTCACTGAGTCTAATACTTTATAACAGCAATGCTAATCAATGTATGTGATGTGGAACAAGGACATGTAAGGACATCAGTCACTACCTAAGACACCTTCCACCCTATTCTAGAGGACCATCAGTGTCTCCTCAGCTGATTTGCTCAAACTCCTCCAAGAGCAGGAAGCTCATCCTGCTCTAGACTGTGCATTCCTGGGTGAAACAGCTCAATTATACAGACTTTATAGCCCTCTCTGACATCTTTCCAGTATTTGACACTCAGCTTGGTCCCTGGAGCTCTAAAGACAAAACATAACCACTTGTCACATAACAGGTCCTCACTAATATAAGCAAAGCTTGTTGCTCTAAAGGGGGTGGAGGCAGACACCTAGATATGCTGAGAAGTTAGGATTTGAATTTGTTCCAAACCATGCTCACCTTTCTGACCTCAAAGCTATGAACAGCGCCCATGTGGGGCACTGGATAGAATGCAGAGCTGGAGGGGCACCTTTCCCCAAGCAGGGTTCCCTGCTAAGCTGCAGTCCTGATGTCTTTAGACTTTCAGTCTGGATGAGGTGAGAGGAGCCAAGGATGTCAAAGCAAGTGATGGAGAGGGTCTCTCCATGCCTAGAGTAAAATCAGCCTCCTCAGTACCAGGCAAGCCTCTGGACATGGTAAAATAAAAGGAGCCTGCTGCAGGGTCAAGGAATTTTACCAGAACACTGGAGGTTCCATTTCAAACACAACCTTGGGTTTCCTTCAGACCTCTGTCCGCACTTTTGCTTAGCCAAGTAAAGGCATTTGGCTCCATCTACAGTTTAAATTGCTAATAGCCCACTGATTTTCTAGTTTTTGAAAGATCCACTAGCTCTCATGAAACACTTCATATCTGGGTCACCCCTCCTCGACTGTCATTGCCTTACTTATAATACGGGGGGGTCACACATAGTACACTCAAAACTCAGAGAGGGTGGAGTTTTCTCCTTATTTAATTTAGGTGCTCTGCTCCTACTCTGAAGTCTAAGATTGTATTATCATTTTCCAAATAATTTTAGCACCTTTACCACTAATGGTTATTACTAAGCGTGTGATCACTCAACACTCCAAAATGTCAAGCCATTTTCCACAGGATGGTTGGTCATTTTCTTGCAATAGAACATTTTTTTTTTCTCTGAAGCACGTATTTTAAAACTGAGCCTTTTGCCAAAATGCAAAATCTACATCTACTCTTGTTAAATTTTACAAACATGTAAAAGACAAACAATCCCTTCTCAAAAAGGTAGCAGGCAAAATGGGCTTGAAGAACTTTTCATGAAAAGTTTGGACACTTATGTATTGAGAGGGTCCCCCGAGAATGAACCATCAGGTGTACCAGGGTTCTGGGGGCACCTATGTAAATCTCTGAGTGAAAGCCCATCATGTGGGGTGGAAAGGACAGAATTGCCATCAGTCCCTCACCATCTATCCTCTGCTGAGCACTCTGCACATGATTCCCCAATTCCCCAGCTAATCTTTGCAACCTGGGACCAACATATGCATGTGCATCACACATTTACAGCTGTACAAATTTGGGAAGATGATGCCTTTTATTCAGCTCAGGTGTTCACAGTCTTGGCACTACTGACATTCGGGGTGGATGATTTTTGGTGGGGTGGGAAGCTATCCTTAAATTGTGAGGTTGTTAGCAGACTTCTTGGTCTCTACCTACTGGAGCTAGCTGTGACAAATACACATGCTGGAAGGTTGAGAACCACTACTGTCAGCCTAGTTTAGAGCTGCACAACTAGGACATGGGAGCTGGTACAAGGCTTAATTTGGACATGACTGTCCCAATACCCAACCTCCAAAACTGGATGCCTCAAGGACTTTGCCCACTCATGCACGACACATCCAGAGAACTTTGAGCACTGAGGTTTATTAAGATATTTCAGCCAAATGTCTTTTGCCTTCTTTCAAGCTCTATTTAAAAAAGGCCCACTTCCTTTGTTCCCCACAGATGGCCTTATCACCCTGTCTGCCTGCACCCAGGGATTAAACCATATGTCTCACTACTTTCACACAAGCCTGTTGAGTGGTCTCTGCCTCGCTTTGTTCTTTACACCCTACACCAAAACGTGGGTCACAGAGACAGGGAAAGTTCCCTCTACTTGGGGATCTCAAGCTCTTTCCTGAGCCTCCTTCCCCTTGACTGAGACCACTCGGTGACATCAGTCCCTCAGACCTTAGCTTCTACAGTTCCTGCTGCTTCTGCTGTGCCATATCTTGCTGCGTGTTTCAGATATGTAAGCCACCCATCACTCACCCCCTTTCTTCCTCCTTGTATACCTTTTGTTTTCCCCATAAAGTCAGAGAGAGGCTCACCCCTGCTTTTCAAGCTTTTTAAAATTCCAGCACTGGTCTTGAAAAGCACTCCGGAGAAGACTGCTTCCCTCTGGTGTCTGACATCTGCCTTGGCCATATGCTCAAATTTTTCAGCTTTGGGTCTACTCTGGAGACGTCCACCGAGAAAGCCAGCTGCTCTTTCACACCTTCTCTCTGTGCTCCAATAAGAAAAAATCCATATTCCATCCCCTGTTCATCTCCTTTATCTTGCCTTCTGTGGAATCTTGCATCTCTCCACCTCTCTCCTGATCTGAAGACCAAGCAGCTAATCTTTTTATGTAACATGGCACAGCTACAGTGTGAGCAATGGACCTCAGTGGCCTGTCCATGGTATGTTTAATATATCCCTTTTGGGGAATCTGGACAATTACCTCATAGGCTAAAGAAGTGGTCTGAAGTGGCTTATATCCAGGCCTTCTTTATACTCTGAAGTTTTCCTAATCTGTGTTCTTCATGCCATTCCTCTTAAATTCTCCTCCTTTCCCTTCCATTCGCATCCCCTCCACTTCCCTCCCATGCAAATTCCTCCCTCACCAGGGAGAAACTGCTGACCTCACTTTCTCTTGGCATCCTCTGCCTCCTCAGCTGAACAACTTCCCGTATCCCCTGCTCCTCTGGCAGCACCTTCAACTGCAGCTGCCATGGCTGAGCCACTTCCTCTGGAGCAGCCTCCAGCTGACTGGAAATCTGTCTCATGTATCTATCCAGACATTCCCTCCAAATCAATGCCTCTTCCACACGTTCAGTCTCATACAACTCCACACTATAATCGATCCAGACTGCAGCTTGGTGCTCCTTCCTCAACCCCAGCTTCTCAATTTCCACTTCAGGAGGTGGCAAGGACGGAGGGAATTGTTTGGGTTCATGTTTCCTTTTCCCTGTCCAATTTGTCTCACACTAGTCAGTGTCTGGTTTCCTTTCTTACCAACCCCACCAAATATATCCAAGAATTTCAGTACCTTGCACAGTCTTAGGATCTCACCTGGGATGACCTAAATATCCTTCTTTCTTCTACCCTTTCACTGAGGAATGGAAATGTATTTAGACCTTAGCCCAGGATGCATCTGATGACTGCAGGCACCTTGAACCTCACCTTCAGGAGGGAGCTACAGCCATCTCCCAAGCAAACCTGAACTGGAACTTTAATTGCCTAAATGAGTATGGGCAATCCTCCATCTGAAGGAGCCATTAACTATATGTTCATTTGCTTAGGTGAAGGGCTCCGCAAGGCAGCACACAGGGCAGTCAATTACGACAGGCTTAAGGAAACCACACAGAGAGGAGATGAAAATCTGGCTCAGTTTCTGTCCTGCATGGCTGTTGCCCTTGGATGTTATACAGCCCTGGACCCAGAAGGCCAATTAATTCTAAAGATGCATTTTATTACCCAATGTGCCCCAGAAATTCATAAAAAGTTACAGAAACTGGAGGCAGGACCTCAAACTTAGCAGGAGTTAATAAATTTGGCATTCAAAATTTTCAATAATAGGGAATAAGTTGCCCACAAATAGCACCTTTCTACATTCTGTTTGTGTCCAGTGTAAGAAACCCAGAGCTGCAGGCTGGATCAAAGTCCCACCAGGGCTCCCCAACCCAAGGGTATATCTCTTGGGCTGTGCTTTAAATGCCACCAGCCTGGCCACTGGGCTAAGGAACACCCGCAGCCTAGGATTCCTTCAAAGCCATGCCCCACCTGCTGTGGGAGCCCCCAGTGGAAGTCAGACTGCCCCATATTGGTATCCACCCTTGCAGTCAGCTCTCAGGGGCCCTCAGTCAGCTCTCTCCCAGATCTCCTCAGACTGACAATGGATGACTGACACTGCCCAGAAGCTTCAGAGGCCCCTTGAATTATCTCAGAAGCCAAGATTAGGTAACTCTTAAGGTGGAGGATAAGTCCATATCTTTTGTCACTGACACTGGGGCAACTCTTCCCATCTTGCCTTTTTTCCAAAGACCAGTCTCCTTGGCCTCAACTTCTGTTGTGGGTATTGACAGCCAAGTCTCCAGGCCTTTGAAAACTTCTCCAGTTTAGTGTCAACTAGGTCAATAATTTTTCTTCCACTCTTTTCTGATCATTCCCCTCCTTGGACGAGATATCCTACCCAAACTGTCTGTGGCTCACATCATTCCTGATGTTCATCCTGCTTTTCTCACCGCTCACTTTTCTCCATCTCTGGCCTCACCCAAAGCTCCCATTTCCTCCTCAGATCTAAACCCTAGGGTCTGGGACACCTCTTTCCCTTCCCAGGTTTTCAACCAGACACTGCTCACCATCCCACTAAAGCCAGATCACCCCATCCATCCCAGCACCAATGTTCTGTCCCCAATCAGACTCTGAGGGGATTAAAGCTAATTATCTCTTGCCTGTTCCAACATAGTCTTCTGGTTCCTAGCAACTCTCCAACACTACAGTTCTCCCTACCCAAAGAGTAAGTGGCACTTACAGATTAGTACAAGATCTCCATGGTATCAACTAGATAGTCCTTCCTATCCATCTTGTGATGCCCAGCCCATGTGCCCTTTTATCTCCTATCCCCCACCTACTACCCATCACTCATCCTAGATTTGAGAGATGCCTCTTTCCCATTCCCTTACACTTCTCCATACAACCTCTCTTCACCTCTACTTCAGTCAGGTCTTTGCCCTGATTTGGTCTTCTTCTGCACATCCATCTCTGCATTGGTTTGGGGCTTGGGGGGATTTTGCAAGGAGAAGAATATAATACAGGACACATATTTTATAAGATTATTTACAACAATTACCCAAAAAGTCATATACAAGAGAGTGCAGGAAATCTGTCCACACACTAAAGACCAAAGATTCCAGCTGAGAGCCTGGATCCCATAATAATGTCTGGCATGAGTCCAGCTGAAGACCTAGAGCCCATAACAATGCCTCCCATGAGTCCAGTTGGAGGCTCAGAGCCCACAACAACATTTCATGCAGGCCTGTTTTACAGATCTGCACTGGGAAGACCCAAAGTCAGTGGTGAAATCTAGAAAGTCTGTGCCAGTAGGATGAAAGATCTGTGCTAGCAGGCTGAGGGATCTACACTGGAGCCAGAAGCAATGCTCAAAATAGAAACCAGAGCTCCCCTGAAAAGTACCACAGCCATCCTCAGCAACAGTGAGGTCCTGAGCTCCTCTGATGATGAGGAAAGCCGAGTTCCCATCAGGAAAGCCAATGCAACAAGTTTCTCCAGAAGACTGAGCAGTGCACCATCGTCCCCTCCAGAGCCAGGAAGCAGTGCTCAAAGTGAGGACCAGAACTCCCCCAAGGTGAACCAAAGCCATTTTTAGCAACAACAAGGTCTTGAGCTCCTTGGAGGATGAAAACAGCCAAGTTCATGAGGAAAGCCAGCTCTTCCAAGAGAACCAACAGTTCCTTACATCTTCTCCCAGCTTCCAACAGGGTCCCAACAGCTTCTACCAGCTCCAAACAGCCTCTTTCTCCAGCTCTGCTTCTTATGCTGCTGGCAACAATCCTCAGGTGGGCATCCCACACGCAGCACCATGCTTACTCAGTTCAGCTGGGGGTTATAAGTTGACCGCCAGCTGTCAATCCACCACAGCCTCTCACCTTATACAATATATAAATGACCTCCTTCTCTATAGTCCCTCTTACAAATCCTCCAGACAGGACCCATGGCTACTTTCCTTACCAGACTGTTGGTCTGTATAATCACCCTTCTCTTATTCAGGGCCTGTCCTTTCAGCCTCCTGCCACAGTTCTTACAAGACTGCATTTAAACAATCACTAATCAGCAGCTGTTACTTTTCTCCTCCCCTCAATATAAAACAGTTCCCCCAGGTGTCCTTTCCTGCTAGGTTGCCCACTCAGCCCACAGGCAAGCAGGAAGCACTCATGAGAAACAGTGCCCATCTCACTTTTTCTTCTTCCTTTCCTTTTTTGTTTATCATAACAAAAAGATGGGAATGTAAGGCTCAATTCAGACACGGCTCTCCCAGTACCCAATTTGTCCTGCAGCAGAGGCATTGTTATTAGCTCAGCACCAGTGCCTTTGGTAAACACAGGATGTCATAAAAAAGCATGGAATCCTCCAAAACACCCAGACATCTGGAGATTGGACTCAAGCATTCACACTGGACACCTCAAGGAATTTGCCCACTGAGGCACAAAATATCCAAAGAACTTTGACCCCTGATATTCACTAAGATCTTCCCACCTAATGTCCCTTGCCTTCTTTCAAGCCCCATTTAAAAAAAACTTACTTCTCTTCACTCTGTACAGACGGCCTTATCGCCCTCTGTCTGGCTGCACCCAAGCACACGCAATAAATTCCACACCGTATTGCTTTTACACAAGCCTGGTGGTCTCGGCTGGTCTCTGGCTCACACTCTTCCACACACAGCTGGCATTTCACCTGGGTCTGAAGTCATCTATCTCACCTGAGTCCCTCAAATGGGCACTTAGCATTTCCCAAGGTCTAGCTCAGTGTCACCAATGAACATGAGATACTTCCTAAAGTGCTCAGTAGGAGAATGGGCAAGAGGTATGGATTTTCCTCAGCCTTTGGGACTTTTTAAACTGGTGGTTGACCTTCCTCTGTCTCCTCCCTGATGAACACAACTTTGTCACAGCTTGCTGGGGTTTACCTTCAATCACAGATGCACAGTGGATTAACTGGGCACAGAATGGAGAGAAAGCAGAATTTGGAGTCAGACAGATACAACTTTGAGGTTAACTACCTATGAGGCGTTGGGTGAATTAATTAACCTCTCAGAGCCTCCATCTCCATCTTTAAAATGGGCACTCATCTGACTCAGAGGCCTGTTTGGAAGGGTAAAGGAGATAGTGAGAAGACTCATTTTCCTCCCTCTTTCCTATTTGTGAATCTCTTCTGATTCCTGGGTCCTAAACCAGCCCCGAGCAAGGTGAGCTCTTCCTTCACTGCTCTTAGCGGCTGAGAATAAACGTCTCTATGCTGAGAGACTGTGTTGGTTTTACCTTCTCGCCTCGCTCTCCGTCTTTCCCAGGGGGGCCTCTCAGGCCAGGTGAGCCCTGAAAAAGATTATTTACAAAGTGAGCTTTTCGATGTCTCATAGTCCCCATGGAGGAGTGATTGTCTCCTTCTAGTTCTGTCCCACCTGTCCCCCTTCCAGACTTAAATTCCCAAGGTCTGTCTTTTCCCTGTCTGACTGCATCCTGCACAGAAGCACTCTTCAGAGCAGGCTCTGCCTGCCCTTGGGCTGTGAGCTCTGGGAGGGAAGGACTTCACAAGAGAAGACACCAGGGAGGATGTAGATGACCCAAAGAACATAGGTTCAGTGCCAAAGACCTGCTTCAATAGTGTTGCCAGATTCCCCACAAGTTCATTTTGAGACAAATCTCAAGGGCAAGCTTTCTCAGGATCCCCCAGTAGGAAGATGAGAAAGAAGAGGATATGCAGCTAGAAACACATTGTATGCAACTCTATCTCAGTCTTGCTGTGAGGTCTGGGAGCCCACCTAGGACACATGGAAGAGCAGCCCCACCTGAGGGCACAGGGGCCAGCTGCTTGTGCGCTGTGGTCTCAGGGCTGCTTATGGTGGTGCTACTGGCCACTTGTCACATGGCTGGGTGGCCAGGGAGACCTTCAGGCCTAGGAAGGCAGGGATGGCTGCATTGCACCATGGGAAAGTGAGGCTATACAGGTAAGGTGTCAGCAGCTTCTGCAAACACTCACTCCTTCACTCAGTCTCCCTGTGCTTCAGTTTTCATCTGTGTAAAACTGAGTCAATAATAAGATCACCTGACAGGAGTGTTAGGCTCATAGCAAATGAATTAACACGTGATGGAGCAAGAAGGGTGCCCAGAACATGGAGCTTCCCAGTATTTGTCCTCTAAGCCACTAGGATTAGGACCTGCAAAGGCTGATGAATGTACAACACAGACCTAAATGCATAGTGGAGGATAAATTCTCTGCAGCTCTTGACTAGATATTGCTGTGTGTTTTATTGAATGACTTTAAAGTCTAAATCAATTTTTATGGTGAATCATAAAGCTAGTCCATTAGCAGACATGAGGGGCTCCCACAGCAGAGAGGTGTGATCTCAGATCTCAGCAAGACAAGTGGGGTGGGATCTCAGTAGTGGGTCCACCTGCTGCTGAGACCTCCATGAGAGCCTTGCCAAAGCCCTACACAAGCCAGTGAGACAGCTGGGCTTGAAATCCTGGTGTCCTCACAGTGAGTCAGAGAACTTTGACTTCTCTAGGTTCTGTTTCTTCTAAGGCAAAGTATGATGTTGATTCTAACGTCAGTGAAAAGTGCAGCCTGTCTGCAGTGGCAATTCCATGTACTACTTGAGGAGATAAAGTGTTACCTGGTGACTTAGGTTTGCTAACTTTCTCTGTAAACTTTGTCAGGACATCAGTCTTCCCACCTATGAAACTGGGCTGAGTCTCACGGAACATAACTAAGTTCACTTAGTGGACAGTAAGGCAGGCCCACAGTCAGTGCTCCCAATTACTCACCACACTTCCAGGGAGGCCACTGGGACCGGGGAGCCCTGCAGGTCCAGGAGCACCCTAGTCATAGACAGAAGCAGTTTAGAATCCTAGGCCAAATCTAACAAACACTAATACTGGTCCTGGCCATCCCCTAAGCCTGTTTTGTGTGGCTGGTTGGAACTGCGCCAATTTGCCATCCCTCTAGGAGTCTGAAGAACCTTCACCTTTTGAGTGTTGTGACATCCTAACCAGGCCCTCCTCAAGTGAGTGGGCTTCAGACATAGAGTGGGGAGACACAAGGCAAGGGTTCTAGCCATTACTTAACTCAGTCACAGAGTTGAAAGGGCAGAGACCATATCCCCAACCATGCATGAGGACTTCAGGGGAGGTTCGGCCTTAATGTTGAGCATGAGCATGGGGCAGAAAAATACTGGAGAAGGAACCATTCAGAGTTGAGCTGCAAAGAACAGGCTGTGGTGCAGTGAAGGTCAGCTGAGGGGCATGGACAAGCCTTGGAGAATGAACCACTTTGCGGGGTGGTGGTGGCTGCCTACATGGATGGAGAAAGGGCTTGGAGAATGTGCAGAGAGCACTGACCAGGGCTCCGGATAAACTGCAGTTTCATGGAGATCGTAAGTCTGAGTAGATCACGGCACATCTGCTTTTAGTCTGCATCATGCTGGAGATGCTGATGAATATTCACAGGGTAATGGCACAGGGGGAGGGGTGGTAATCGTGTGTGTGGGGGGGGAGGGTGGTGGGAAGAGGTCCCAACAAAGCAGGAAGCACATAGGGCTTACAGGATTTCCTGCTGCTCCAGGAGCCCCATGTGCACCATCTTGTCCCTTGGTGCCCTGTACAAGAAACAAAAGGGAAAATATAAGCAGTCAGAGACTCCAGAAAGTCTCTGGAAAACTTATGGGAAACAGTGGATCTATACTGAAGGCACTGGAACAGGGCCTGAAAAGGACAGAGAAATTCCTGGCCCAGAGCAGGAAAGTAGCATCACGATCTGACTGCATCTGCAGCCAGCCAGAGGCCTCTGGGATTTCTGGCTGACAATTCTGTCCCATAAGCTCCCTCACACAGTGCTGAGCCCCCAGAGGGCCAAAACCCCTGTCCTGCAGGGACCTAGGGAAGATGCCCAAACAAGGAAAACAATAACATCAAAATGCTGCTGTGACTCAGTCCCCACTTAAACCAGGGCATCCAGTTAAAGCTGGGGAGGGAAGCAGATTCTCTGCATCTGAAAAACATTTTGGGAGCCCAGAACCACCCTGACTAGTGGGAGCACTGCACTCCAAATTGCACTGCACCTAAGGCAGCACTTGCAGGAAGTTGGCCGGTTTTTGGTGGTGGGGCAGGGACAGCCAGGTTTCCAGAAGCAAGGCCACCGGGGTGGCAGCTTTCCAGGATACACTGGAGGATGCAGCCCTAAGGCTCTGGGATGCTCTGGGCCCTGCACCTGGCAAACATTTTCAAAATTCCAGGTGTTAAAGGGTTAGGACTGGGATGGATAAGGACATCCCACCCTCTGGAGTCTCTGAAGCAATAGATAGAGACAGCCATCTTACCGGAGGTCCAGTGGGTCCCCGAGGACCTAGTTCTCCAGGATGGCCCTGCAATGAAACAACCTGTCCATGAGGAGTTCAGCACCCTAACTCTTGGAAGACTGCATGCAGTGGGTACAATCTGAGGTCCCCTGAGAGGATGTCATCAGAGTCCCAAGGGACTAGAAAGGGGTCACGCTGAGTTCACCAGGGATCCGGGGTTGGACGTTGGACTCTACAAGACAGAACTGCAGGTAGCCGGCCCTGAAGGCCTGGTCTCCCCAGAGGCCTGGTGCACAGTGGGACTGAGTGGAGCAGCCTGAGGGGTGTTCACTCACCGGTTCCCCAGGCAGTCCTGGGTCGCCCTTCTCTCCTTTAGGCCCTTGTTCACCCTGTTTGGTAGAAGCACAGGATTCAGTCATACTGAATTGAGAGTGACCTTCTCCTCTCCTATGGCACGTGTCTGGCCCTCATATGTGATGTAAAACCCACCCCGAGTCCTAGGGATACACTTGGTTCAACACCACTCCCCAAAGGCTTTCTCTGCTGATGGAAGTGATCTTTCTCCCACTCCCCTGAGAGACTGACCTATTTGACTTATCTTTCAGATCTGAGGGCATGAATCCCTTCTTCAAGGAAGTGGAAATTCAAATCATGAAGTCCTTCTGTTAAGGACTCTTGGAGCCCAGCGTCTGTCCTTTATGGTACCTGCTAAGGTTGTAGCTTTACATTTGTATGGTTTGACCCATGTCCCTCCAGCTTATCAATGAATAAAGATGGAGCAAAGACTGAGAGGAAGAGGTGTCTCCTATGCCCCTTTTGGGGGGGCATAGGAGAGGTGGAGAGGGTGCTTTGCTAGAGGGAATCAGACCTTTGGGAATAGACTGGGAGCTGAACACTAGACTCTGGATGGTCAGAACAGCATGTCTAACTTTGGCTGAAAAGGAGGTAGGACAGGCTGGAAAGGCAATGCCTGGATGTGCCATTCACTGGGAGATTGAGGACTGGATCCTTCCACTCCTTGAGGCTACAGGTGCCACCCCTGGGATTCCCAACACATCTCCTGGAAAGCATAGCGGGACAGGAGATCACCATCCCACAGCCAAGGCTGCATCAAAGGGAGGCTTCAGGGGCTCAGGTGCTTGTCTTTGAAAGGTTGAAGAGCCAGACATCTCGCAAAAGAGGAGCAAGGACAGGTGGGTATGGTGAAAATAGTCTGAACTTTAGGCAAATACAGACTGCTTGAGGTCTTGGGCTCTGCTTCATTGGCAGTGTAACCTCAGGAAAATTAGTGACCCCTGCTGACTTCAGCTTTCCTATCTGCAGGACACATAGGCCGTCTCTGTCTCACAGAAGCAGAAGTTCAATGGTAGACTGAAGAGCTGCCATGGGAGACTGGGTAGATCTGTCGAACTCTGTGGAAGAACAGCGAACAACTAGAGCACAACGTCCAAAATGCTAAATGGAGTAGGCCTCCCCTAAGAAGCAGACCTAGCATTGTCCAAAATTGTTCTGACCCATTCAGGGTCTTTGGGTGCTCCTTCTACAGAGAGACTCACAGAAAAAACGGGATGGGCATGTGCCTTGATAGAAAATAGAATTCTGCATAGGCAGGAGTTGGTGAGTACAGGCTTTGGAGAACTTCAGGTCTGGAGAAGACCCTGGGTATACCTGTAAGCAGACTCTAATGTCTAGAGAGCCTGCGGCTGGCTGGCCCTAAGACTTGGTGGGAAAACAAAACTGACACAGTGATGGTTTCCCACTGATTTTCTCACCATGCCCTGGTAAATGTTGGGGACCTTGCCACAGCAGCTCAGGCCAGCCTCTACTCCCAAGCCTTTCTTGGACTCTCTTACTGGTACCCACATGATCTCAGATCTTCCCTCTGTCGACATCACCTACTGATTGGAGTCTACACAGTCCCCCTGGCAGAGCTATAACCTCCTATTAAGTGAGATTGCTTTTGCCAAGTATTTCTCAAAGCTTGGCAAAGAGGAGGCTTCAAAAGATGCCAGCTCCTTCCTTCTAGAATCTCCATGGCCAACCATCCCAGAAGGATATGTCAACCCCATTCACCAAGGACAATAATACCATAATTTTCAGCATACTTCCTTCCCAGAGCATTTCCTGCGGTGTGAAACTCCACCTGGCCCTCCAGTCATGAACAGTGCAACCCATAGACACAAAAGGGCTGTGGGGACAGTTTATGGTGACAGAGTGGATGAAGGTAGGGGGAAGGGATTGCAGGGAGACAAGTGAGGGACCTGTGGGAACTCTGAGGGTTCCCAGGAAAGATACTCAAGACAGTCCTGCCCCAGCACCCAGGAATCAGGAGGCAGTGCCTCACTGCTGAGAAACAGTGGCTGTTCTGTCAATAGTTTCTGAATGTGGGAGCCTTGCTGACTTCTACCTTTGCCCCCAAGTGATGTTAGCAAGCCAACCCTCACTTCTGGGATTCAGAATCCTCCTAGCAGATGCCAGGCACTGTCAGGGACAGCATGGAATATCCACTGTAGGGTGAGGAGTGGCTTCCCTAGACCCTTCCTGAGATGCCACTTCTGAGTCACCTCCTGACTTCCAGCTTGCATTCTCCACTGTAATGTCCACATGTCTGTAATGATCATTTGTCTATACTCCATTCCTCCAACTTAGGACTGGTTTCTCTCTCCAATGTGGCATCTGCAGACCTGATGGATCCCCATACCCTCTAATAGCCCTACCCACTGGACATGGGCATGGGCATGCCCATGAGCCACCCCCACAGGCCCCCTCCATTCTGCACAAGGGTTTAAGGAAGCTGGGATATTCCCCCTTTCATTCCCTGCCTTTTTAGGAATGCTTCAAGGTCTGGTTTCCTTCACTGCCAATATTTGCAGACCATCTCTCTCCCCCTTTCAAGCTTAGTGTGTGCATGTGCGTGCGTGCATGTGTGTGTGCGTGTGTGTGTGTGTGTGTGTGTGTGTGTGTGTGTGTTTCTGAGGAGTGAACCCAAGGCCTTCACATTGAGGTCTATCTCCAGTTCTTGTGTCCTTGTTTATTTGATTTTGAAACCGGAGCTTACCAAGTTGCCCAAGTTAGGGTCAAATTTGGTGTGCTCCTTCCTCAGTATCCCAGACTGACAGGATTACAGGCATGCACCACCATGCCTGGCTCCTTCTGATCTTGCACATTCTGCAATCTCAGATCATTCTGTTTTTAAAACCACCAGTAGCCCTGGGCACTACAGAATTAACTTTACCCAAAAAGAAGTGTGGCTTTTGCCCTTGAGTCCTGGTTGATGCCCTGGAATGCCCTTCCTAGCAGAAAGTGGTTCCCACCTAGAACCCCAACTGCCTGGTTCACTGGCATGAAGGGCTGAGAATCAGAACCACCCCAGCCCCTCTTTCCACCCACATTGCACATCACCTCCATGCAGAGGGCACAGTTGTACCAGGGTGGTACTGCTACTTACAGGCATTCTTGGATGTGGTGTGAACAGGGAAGTCTGAAATGAAAATCACAGAAATGAAAACCAGTACAGTCTGACACGCTAATTTGAAAACCCTGCGGCCTTTTGAGAAAATCACCAAGGGATAGAACACACCACAAAAGTGTTCATAGATGATCAGTACTTTTAACAATTAGGATCACAACTTTCTTTAAGGTCCCTGAGAATTTATTAAGGCAAGAATGCACAGTAGTTCCATGAGGGAGCACAGGAATTGCATGGCCTGAGCTCCAACCCCTATGTGACCTTGGACAGCTTGCTAGGTGTCTTGCCTTCTCCAACCTCAACACTTTTGCAAATGTTGTTCCTCAGACCTGGAAGTATTATTTTCTCTTTAGTTAACTACAGTCCACCCTTCAGGTCTCTTTAATTGTTATTCTCAAAGTTCATCCTCTCCACCCAAATCTAAATCAAATAAACTAAGTTGCCTTGTCGTTCTGTTTCTTTACCTTGCTCTGTTGCTGGATCTCACTTACTATAATTTATAGCATGTTTTTATCTTGTTCATTATATGATTAGAGTTCTCCCTTATGAGGTTATCAACTACATCAGGTCTGAGTCATGGCAATGCCTGGGACACAGGGGCCCAAAGGATAAAAATGATTGAATAAAATGATATCATGAAGGCTGCTCCCAAAACACAGTGAATTCAAAGGGAAGAGAAGGTGAGAGTGGCTGTCTATACCTTCCTATCCATGTCCCCAGCCCTGGTCTCTTCTCCAGAAGAAATCATTGTTTTACAAGCTAGAACATTTTTAGATCCTTTTCTATGTGTTTCCACACAATTATGAATGCATAGGTATACCTAATATTTGCAAAAAGTATATAAATAGTGTACTTGGTTCATTGTTAGTTACGCTTACTAACTCATGATTCCTCACAGTAACTAAGAGAGGGGGATGATCTGCCCCTGCCTCACTTTATGGCTTTGTGGATAGGACAAGTGGAAGACAGAGCAGTGAGCCCCTCCCAAAGCCCAAGCAGCTGGGGGATGCTGGGTCAGAAGCTGACATTCACGTGGTGGGCTGCCTGAGATCCTAATCTCTGAGTACACAAAGATCTACAAACTGGGGCTGGGGATTTAGCTCAGCGGCAAAAGCGCCTGTCTGGCAAGCGCAAGGTCGTGAGTTCGGTTCCCGGTACCGGAGAAAAACCAAAAAAAAAAGATCTACAAACTGATTCTGTCAACTTCATCTTGTACCGCTTAATTTGTATAATTATATACTTTCAAGAGTATATATAGTATGCAGATTTCTTTATAAAATAGGATGCTGTGATACAGATATCCTATCATTGAGCTAATTCCATGCTTATAGTAGTGTGGATTTTCCCATAATTTTCATCATTATAAGTGACACTGCAACAGATCTACTTCTGATTGTGTTTTTTTCTGATGTTAAGATTCTCCCAACATTTTTATGGAAAGATTGAGTCTCGTTTTGATAGGGCATGAGTGCAGGAATATAGAATAATGATGTAACTTTGATAAAAGCTGCAGAGTAGACTGTGTGCCACACTGAAAATAGGCTTTCTTAGTATCCATGCTGTCTCCTCTCCTGCTGTTATGGATTGTGTCTAGATGTCCCCCTAAAGCCTCATTCAGGCATATGTGGGGATTTTGCAGGGGTGACTGGACCTACAGTGTGTGATCCTGGGATTGATTCATGGTGCACTGCTACGGTTAAACACACCAGGATTAACGAAATGAGACGTAAGAGACTGAAAGAGCTCTGATCATCCCTTGTTGCTTTCCTACCTTCTGTCTGTCATGAACTGTCTCTCCTCTGTGATGCCACCCTGCCTTGGAGCCTGCTGATTGTGGGCTGAAACCTCTACAAGTGAACTAAATAAACCTTTTCTCCTTTAATTTTGGGTGTGGAGTATTTTGTCTCAGCAGCAAGAAATGTATTTGGTACCAGAGAAGTGGGGTCATTGTTGTGACCGTACCTGGCTGTGTGGTTTAGGAGCCATTGGAGCTGGCTTGTGGGAAGAGGAAAAGTTAAAAAAATGTGATGCCAGCTGAAGAAGTAGAGCTGGAATGCCTCAGGCTGTGGTTGACAGGGGATTCTGATCAGAGCACAGAAGACCAGAATGCTGATAAAAATTCTGGCAGTAAAGACCAGGCTCAGGAGATTTCTGCTGGAAATAAGGACTGCACCGGCTGTTGGACTCTAGACCATGTGTGTGATACCTTGGCAGAAAATTTGTCTGCATTTTGCTTGTATCCAGAGACTTTGCCTGAGACTGAGATTAAGGGTGGCAGACTAATTAATTTGGCAGAAGAAATTTCAAGGCAGTCTAATGTTAAAGCAGTGCCATGGTCACTGTTGGGGCTTTTAGTCAGATTTATGTTGAGAATCAAGTGCAACAGAATGACTCAAAACATTTTGAGTTATGCCAGAAAGGAAACTCCAGGAAAACTTTCAGCCTGTAAGGATGGAATAGAGGAGAAATTGGTTACTTCAAAAACTAGCAAGAAAAAGCCAAGTATTCTGGAAGAAGACACAGAAAAAATGGCCTTAGGATATCACAAGAACCAACAGGACTCCAGCCTCACAGCCTCAGACTTGCAAAGGTGAAAAATTCTGCTTTGAGAAGAAACCCTCAGATCAGCATGTTCCAGAATGGCAGGGCCTAGGAAAGTAGTTCCCTGGAAGTTGGTTCATAGGCCATTGACCCCTATAGCCAAGAGAGAAGAAAGTGTGGCTACTGCTCCAGCTGGCAGCAGAACTTGGCATCATCCACATGGTGATGGTTTTAGGTGCATGCAGAATGCAAGAGATGTGGGGTCAGAAAGGCTTTCACTCAGATTTCAGAAGAAGGCCCAGGAGGCCAGGCATTGTGCCCCTGAGGAGGCAGTGTGTGAAGCTCTGAGTATGAAGCCAAATGTGCAGTAGAGACTCCAGGAGTTTGGAGAAGCCAAGAATGTGGATCCTCTGAGGAAAACTGCAAGGAGGGAGCAAAGCCAACCCAAGAGAGAAGCCATGGGAGCTACAACCACCAGAAGTGCCATAGGAGTGGAGTCATCCTTTGGAGTTCACAATTTGCCACAGATTGTTGGGGAATGCTGGAAGTGAAACTGTGGGATTTAACATTTGCCCTGCTGGATTTGGGTATTTCTTTGTTCCCATTCCTGCTAGCCCCACTTGTAACTTTTGGAATGGAAATGTTTATCTTGTGCCACTCCTTTCATTTGTACAGGGGCCTACAGGTAACAGTTATATAGGGACTTGCAGCTAAGACTTACCTTAAATCTCAGAGGAGACTGGACTTGGACTTTTCAGCAGTGCTGAAACTATAAGGACTTTTGCAAGTCATAGGGATGGATTAATGACTTTTACATAAAGGAATGTTCATGAGTTTTGGGGGCTGGAGCAGAATAATATGGCTTATGTGCCCTCAAAGTCTCATGCAGTCACAGATGGGGCTTTTTCAGAGGTGGCTGGATCCAGAATGTGTGATGCTAGGATTGACTTATGGTACAATGCTAAGTTCAAGGACATTAGGATCAAGGGTGTGAGTGCTACCCACTCTAAGTAGCCTCAATAGGATATAAGGGATAGAAAGAACTGTGGTCACTCCCTTGTTGCTTTGTACTTTCTGCTCATTATGAAGTTTCTTCTTTCCCTTGCGATCCTGCCCTGGAGCCAGCTGATTATGTACTCAAACCTCTACAAACTGTGAACTACACAGACCTTTCCTCCTTTAACTTTGCATGTTGGGTATTTTGTCTCAGGAACAAGAAAATTAACTAATACCTGCCATTGACAGCTAGGTGATCCCCTACGTTTGTCAGTAACCAATCAATCCCTTATGTACTCACCCATTCAGAACCAGCACACAGAGCCCTAAAACTAATGCTCAAAATAGGGAATTTCAATACTAAGCACAAGCATTAAGTTTTAAAAAATCTAAACATAGAATTACAGAATTTTGGAAAGTATGATAAATAATACTGAGAGTAATTGTTTCATATTTCTTATGTGCCATAAAATCTGCTAAATACTTCGCTTTCTTTCAGTTAATTTTCACTAAGAATGTACAAGACAATTGTACATTTTTTCTGCCAGATGAGAAAACGTACTTTTGGGGGAAGTAAATAACATATCCAAGACCACTATACTGGTGATTGGCAGAGCTGAGAGCCCATTTCTTCTGCCCTATTCCTCTGCCCTCAGGCCTTGCTCTTGCTGATACTCAGGAGCAACTCATAATGCCAGCCTGATACTTGCAGGCATCGGAAGATGAACCCTAGTCTTGGGCTCTGGTATTATGTTATTACCCTGGACACAGGGCTTCTTATTTCTGGACCTCAGTTTCCCCATATGGGACAGGTGAATATGTTATCTCTGTATCTAACACATGCTCTAATAGAGTAATTGTGCCTTGTTGAATAAAATGAATCAGGGCCGGGGATATAGCTCAGTGGCGTAAGTGCCTGCCTGGCAACTGGAAGATCTTGAGTTTGATTCCCAGTAGCAAAAATAAAAAATAAAAAAATAAAATGAATCAGTAAGCACAAGGTCATTCTGAGAGAAGCTTTCATGTTTTGGATTTTGTAACCTACAAGTAGATCTAGCCATTGGAAAACTCTATCAAGGAGAGTTTATAACTATGTGATGTGTGTATAAGGGGGAACTCAATACCTTAGGAATTTAGAGAAGGAGAAAGGGGTGGAAGCAGAGTAACTTACAGTTCCAGGTAACCCAGGGGGGCCTACTGGACCAGCTTCACCCTAGATGGAGGCATGAGAAATAATAAGCATTAATGTTCTTGACAACTCCACTTATGCTAGCACAGGTCTAATAAGGAACACACTCACCACACATACCATGATAGATAGACAAGTAGACAGGCAGACAAAAACATGAATGCACTATAAATTATAAAATATTTCAGACATATGAACAGTACTTTTGAGAAATATCTATATTGATCTGTATAGCTATAAATTATTTCAACCACCATCTACTACCCCACCAAATATATGGTAATGACATTCACTGTTATGCATCTCCCTTTTGATGACATCAATGCAGTTTTCCTCAGATTGTGACCACAGCCAGTGTCAGATGTGCTACAGAAAACATTCTCACACGTGCCCTTAAGCATGATGACCACAATGAGGTCCAGCTTCCTTGCAGATGCCCATCCCTGCCTGCCCCACACTCTGGGAAGAAGCAGACATTTTTCAAAATGAACAGTATTATTCTTGTAAACGAAATGATGTTGGGCACCAAATGACTTGAGCTCAAAACCCGACTCTACCATTTGACAAGTGAGTGCACCTCTTTTGGTTCGTTTCCTCTTTGCAAACCATAAAGATAATAATGCATGCAACTCTCAGCATCTGGTGTGGACAGAGATGATAAACAAAGTGGCATTGAGGACACTGGGTCATAGAGCTGTCCAGTGCAGGAGAAAGGGCAGCAACAGCACAGTGAGTTATTATGGTCCCCAAAGCACATCACAAGTGCCATGTGAGGCCAGGAGACAGGGTGTATATGCCAGATGTTCCTAGACCCACCCCGGACTAGGCCTATGGCAGCCATTCTACATCTAGTTATCAAGTGGGCAAACTTAGCAAGGTACAAAAACATCCTTAGTAAACAGCAATGACACAATAGTGAAAACAGCTGTATCATTTTCTACTATTACTTCTGTTGTCACGCAGCATTTACTTCTATGTGCTCACTATGTGTGCACTCATTTAACCTTTGCAGACATGCCTATAAGGCATTTATGTATCCCCATTTCACAGATGAAACTGAGGCATAAAGGTCTTAATCTTCCCAATATGCACACTACTAGCCAATGGCTGAGCCTTGTTTTCAATACAAAAACTATGCTCTTAACCAAGAGTGAATTTCCAGAAGCTTCAAGAAGAAATGCACTTTCTTAAATCACCATGCATTATCTGACTTTACCTGATGTTCTTCCTGTTCTTCCTGACATGGTTGGACTTCCCTCCAGAGCTGATCTCACTTACACCCATCTATTCACCATTAACATGCTCAAGTATCAATCCTGAGTGTTTCCTAATGGGGCACATAAATAAAAAGGTGCAAGCAGGAGGAAGATGGGAAGAGAGGTGTCTCCAGCCAGAGGACACAAGGCTGACTTTGGAAATAGCCCCTGCATGCATCACCAGAGATACAGGGAGTGAGGGAATGGCAGGCAGCATGGGGTAGGCCAACAACACTCTGGTTTTGAGCAAGACACTGGGACAAAAGACCTGTACATTTGGAGGTAAATTTGACAAGCCTGGCTTCCAACCTTGCTTCTGTGTTTAGTTCTTGGTTGCCCCAGTAAAAAAGAACAGGACCATCCCCAATTTCCAGTCCAGTGTGTGGGGCAAAAAGATTTGTCTTCATGGTGGGCATACAACCAATGGAGAGCAAGGTAGAAGCAGGAATGTGCAAGGCACAGTCAGAAGAGAAGAGTGTTCTCTTCATGTCTTCTTTTGAAATTTTGTCAAAAATTGCCTATTATTACCATCTCTACAGGAACACAGAGGTGATCAAAATACTTTGGAAGCCTGAATGTGATTCTGCTGAAGTAAGAAGAGCTTTGTGGTCTTTTTAAGGCTCTGCATTCTGGAAATGAGTTTTTCAAATAGAAATTTCATTTTTGAGAAGTCCATCAAAGTAGCAGGTCAGATGCTGTTCATGCAGATCAGCATTCCTGTAGCCAAGGAGGGGAAGGAGAGGAAGGAACACTGGAAATTGGAGCAGAGAAAGTGCAAATTTGGGAGCCCAAACACCTGGCAGGAGGAGGCTGAATGCAAAGCCCTGTGTGTGTGAAAATCACAGTCCTCAGGCCCTAAGAGTGAGACCTAGTATGCAGCACACTGCTTCTGAGAGGCAGAGCCCCAGATCCACAGCAGGGTTCAGATCCTGACTGTGCATACAGCCCTGGACAAGCAATTTAGCTTTTCTGTATCTCAGTTTCTGCATCACTGAGATAGGGACACTGTTGACAATAGTGGCCTATGTCAGAATAATCCTGAAGATTAGCTAGGGCCCTATGTGGACAGTGCTTACAACTATCTGGCACAGAATCTACGAAGACCTCAGAGGAAAGTGTCTGTGGAATTACTTCTAAGTTGGCAACTAAAGCATAGATAGTCTAAGATGGGTAAGCTTCACTGTCAACTTACACTGCCTAGTTAGGCAGTGATGGAAAACCTTTTAGAGCTTTCATTGATAGCAAACAGCTGGCTGTGGCATGCATGGCATAGGTTCACCACCACTGGCCTAGGGGATTAATAAATCACACTTCTGGGTATGTGTGGGTGAGTTATAGTGGCATGACCTTAGAGTATAAATTTAGTCCCTGGCCCCTTCCTTTTGGGCAAGCACTCCTCTTTTGCTATGCTTCTGGCCATCATGGATTGAGCTTTCCTATGCCATGATATTTCTGCCTTGGAGCCAGTCAGCCATGGACTGAATCCTCTAAATCATAAGCCAAATAAACCTCTCCTTTAAGCTGTGGGTATCTGGTATTCTGTTCCAGCAATGAAAAAGCTGACTAATACTAAGCCTATAAGATATATAGCAGGCGGAATAATGATGGCGACCTAGGCCACCTTTCTGATGACTAGAATAGTGCTCTTTCCACTACACTGCAGGCAAACACACACACAATCATATAGGCAGGTCGTGTGTGTGTGTGTTTATAATGTTGCTAAAATATTAAGGACATACAATATCTAATCAGAAGCCAAGCAAGAGGTAGTAAGGCAAGGCAGCTTGTAGAGCATTTGTTCATGGTAGGATTTTCAATTCTTTCCATCTCCATCCCTTTGAAGTCTAAGATTTGTGGGGCCTGGAACATGTCTTGTTCGCTGTCATTTTATTAGTGACAGCCTAGTAGAGTAAATGATCTGTAGTCTGCTAAATAGTGAGTGTCAGGGAAACATCTATGGCTGTCCTATCCTGGCAGGGTTATGGATGCATCCCTCCAAAGTCAGATTCTAGTTGGATTCTAGACAGGGGTCACTGTGGCCAAAACCACACCCTGGCTGCCTGGCCTCATATCCACCCTTTTAGTTCTATAAGTCAGGGTAGTCACTACACCTCTCTGTACTTTGGTTCTTTCATCCAAACTGTTATGACTCTGTCTTGGTTATTTTCTCTCACTGCCGAGATAAAATATCAGATGCCGAAAATTAGGGAGGAAAGGTTTATTTAGCTCACAGTTTATAGAGGTTTCTGTCCATAATCAGCTGGCTCCAGGGCAGGGTGGTTTCACAGAGAACAGTCCATGGCAGGCATAAGACAACAAAATCAACAACCAAATCCTATCACCATCCTTTCATCCTTTTATACTCTATCTAGGCTGCTATAATTAGGGAGGTGCCAGAACAACAGTGAACTAAGCACATATTCTTAATTCCAGCATCACACACTCTAGATTCAGCCACCTCTGAAAAAGCTTTGTCTGCATGAGGCTTTTCAGGGACAACAAGACACAAACTACAATAGGCTTATATCTACATGTCCCCCCAAAGCCTCATGCAGTCATAGGTGGGGAATTTTGAAGGTGACCGAATTTATGGTGTGTGAATGTGGATTAAGGGTGTGATACTGGCATTCAGTGGATAGATCTGGGTGGTACCAATCAATAAGATTACAGCCTTATTATGCAGGGAGTAAGAGAAGGCAGGCTGCTGCTGCTGTAGCTGCTGCTGCTTGTCCGCTGCTGCCTCCTGACTGCTCCCCGATGTCCCTCTGCCACCCCCCTACCTTGGTGTCAGCTGATTATGCACAAAACCTCTACAAACTGTGAGCTGAAATAAAGCTTTCCTCATTTAACTTTGGGGATCAGGTGTTTTGTCTCAGCAATGAGAAAAGTAACCAAGACATACAAAAGGGGATTTAAATGGAAATGACCTTATAGCTCATTGATTACCAATAAGACATGCAAACAAAAAGAAAGTCCAACTTGCAGAAGGACCAGTCATACTGAAACTCTGCCTTCTGCACCTGCCAAGCTCACACCACCTCAGCAAAGGCTCACTTGGATGCACACCATTCCAGCAGGTAAGATCAGAGACAAATAGTTCACACACAGCTGACATCAGCAGCAGCCTCATTTACATGCCAGCCAATCAGTGACTTCCCTTTCAACAAAAGCCAACAGATCCTGGTATGAGTCTACATACTGACTCCAGTCTAAAGGTTCCTGTGACAAAATTTATATATCACAAGCAAGTGACCCCCAGGAATTCAGGTAACCATAGCTAATCAGTCTAAATCCCCTGCCAAGTGAGTCTCTAAAATTCATGCTCCATAGTTTTTGTAGGACTTTGGCACAAGACAAATAGGTGAAGTGCCTGCCAAGCAGCCCTGCCCTACCTACTTGCTGGGATTCCACCAGCAATGTGCTTCTGAGCAGACACTGGCATTGTGGGCTCACATCCTGAGAGGTGATTCTGCAGCTTTGGGCTTTCATAGAAGCCTCTCTAAGTTTTGGCTCTTTTCATCTACAGAATGTTCATGTTTTGTTTGTTGCATCATGTCCTCTCTCTCCTGTACTTTTCTCCTCTTGCCTGCTGCCCCAGGAGGTGACATCAGTGATTTTACTGACCTTGCCCTCTGGCATGCAGTAGTTTTCCAAGAAATCGGGAGCAAGGGGAAGGAGAGGGTGAGAAACCAAAGCCACTAGGATACAGGACAATCTGGTCTGTTTCCCTTCCCAGACCCAGGATGACTGTCAGGCTCCCTCTTCCACAGCCACCAGCTCCCTCTTCACACCCTTCATGGTCTCTTGCTATTTCTTTCCCAGGTATGTGTCACCTCCCTTTGATTGGTTTCCCTTAGCACTATCCAGATGTGTGTTAGTTCTTTCACTAAATTCTCTCCAACCATCCATCTTGAGGGTGTTGCTCTAATAGATAGCTGTTGCAGAGGCTGCTGGGAAACAATGCCAAGGACACCCACTGTGCATTGCAGAGCACACAGCAGGCTCAGAAAAGGCAATTCCGACCCTTGATTGAAACAGACTCCACTTTAACTCCGAGACTAGCTCTGCGGCCAATGCCACAAGCACTGACATGTGTGGTCGCATAGGATGTACAGGAAGGGGGCAAGACCTGGGGCACATGGGGTTTGCTTTATGGCAAATTCTTCACCATCTTGGAGCCCCCTCTTCCCTCAACAAAATTAGCTCACCCACTTTTACTAAAACTGTACTAGATTAAGAGCAAAACTCTAAAACCAAAGAGGCCAAACACAGTGCTTGGCCTGTCAGCAGTGCTCAAGCAATTAATTCTCAAGCACTACAGGCACAAGGGACGGTGGATGCTTGAATGAACACAGCATCTCTGATTCTATTAGCTTCTTTAAAGTTTCCTACAAATTCCAAGTAAGGTCTAACTTATTGTTCCTCAACAATGTACTTTTGAATCATGAAAATATATTTAGCAAAAAAATACCTCTTTAGAAAATAGCAGTCAGGGATAATGAATGATCAGGATAAGAGTAAGCAGCTCCTACCTTTTCACCTCGGTCACCTTTCAGTCCAGGAAGTCCCAGTTCACCTTTTTCTCCCTGTAAGGAGAGACACAATATGAAAACATTAGAACTTAACTGAGTTTAATTCCTGCCTATTCCAGATAAGAGCAGTATGACCTTGGGATCTACTCCCCTTATCCCCCTCAGCTCTCACTCTAACCTGTCCTTGCCTTATCAGGAGAAAAGCCAGGACAAACCCTGATTCAGAGGAGGTTCCATCAGATATGTATGAAGCACTGGGCTCTCCACTAGGACCCTGGGAAGGTGTCTCCCACGCTCATTCTATCAATTCAATCTGAAGATGCTCTGCCCCCTCCACAGCTATCAAAGTCCTTTAGTATAACTCATGGACTCTGGTACTGTATCTTCTCTTCCCTCATTTCTCTTTCACAACATGAGAACTACTCTATCCATACCCCCTCAAGGGAGTCAGACTTCAGAGGGGTTGCTTCCCACAGGGACCAGCTGAGTGACCTCAGTGGCAAGAGGCCACTACACTTACCTGGTTTCCCTTCTCTCCTCTCACACCTGGGAAGCCTGGAGCACCTGGGAGGCCAGTTTCTCCCTGTGAGAACAAAATGGCAGCTCTGTCCAACAGGTACCCATGGGAGGGTTCTCTTATGGGACAGGCTATGGGCAATGTGCTCTTTAGTTCCTTCCCCCACCCCTTGAAAGCTTTGGGCTCAGTGAGGTCACACAGAAAATAGGGCAGTGGAGAAAGGGGAAATCTAGACAATGTGTCCATTGAGGATCCTCAGCTCCTTCCCACTTGGGCTATTTCTTCTTCCAGGAAACTTGTTCCAACTCTCTAAGTATCTAACTCCTCTTGTCCTTTGAAACTTCACCAAAATGTCACCTTGGGATTTACATCTGGATGTCCCCTCAAACCCATATGCAAAGATGGGGCCTGTGATAGGTGACTGAGTCATGGAGCCACTAGAGCTAAATGTGATGCTAGGGGGTGGGGCCTGCTCAGAAAAGTGGGTCACTGAGGGTGTGACCTGTAGGATGTGTCTCCTGCCCCGTTGGCCTTCTCTCTCTGCTTTCTGGCTGACATAAGGCAGCAGCTTTGCCTCTATCAGACCCCTCTTCCATGCTGTCCTGCACTGGAGCAGGCTATGCACCACTGACACATGAGCCAAAATAGATCTTTCCTCCTTTAAACTGTAGGTGTCAGCTATTTTATCCCAAGGGCAAAAGGTGACTAAGATATAACTCTTAACCATCTTTTCTGACATTCCTCAAGCTCGAAAAGCCTTGTCCCATGTCCCTCACTGACACTGCAGGTCACCATGCATTACACCTGTCCAACTGTTCCCCAGTGTCCAGTTCATCTTGGTTGTGGTTGTGACCCCAATACCCAGTGTAGCTATGAATACACTGGACATGCTTGGAATTACTGAATAAATAACCAAACGCATGAAAAGAATCTAGTGAGTGCCAAAGACATGCTTAATTCCCCTTGGCATCTGAAGAATTTCTCTGACCTATGATACAACAATGAATGAATCAATTAAATGAAGAGCAAGATGCATGAACGAAAGCATGAACAATCAGACCTTGTCTCCAGGTTGGCCTGCCAGGCCCTGCTCCCCAACTTCACCCTAGAGAGAGAATATCAGACATTCCATTATCTTGCATGCACATTTCAGATGTGGCTTTGTGCCCCAGTTGGGCTCAGACATCCACAGCACCTGGAAGCTGCAACTCTAATTCTCAAATGCAGAGCACAGTCAAGGGCCCAAGGGTCAGGAGCTGTGCAAATCCAAGAGTTCAGCATTTCTAGAGAGAGGACTTCTATGTTCCCTCATACTGTCTCTCACTTTAGCTCAAAGAAACAATTCCTGAAATTTCCCTGCCAGAGTTTAAGCAAGGTACATCCATATATCTGGAGCCTAAACTCCTATAATGCAAATAATAATGAGCCAAAGTCTCCAAGTGCTAGATCATAACACTAGATCAGAACCCCAGTTCGAGTTTTGAATCATATTAGGATAACACAGACTCCATGCTGGTTCCAGCGATGACGGAGGACTTGCTGAAGAACTTGTCAACATGACTGGTGTCTCCTGACTGTTGTTCAGTCTCTTTTCATAAACACAGGCTGCCCCAAGGTACGTATTTTATATCTCCTTTCCCATGGAGCAGAACAATACATAATATATGGAATTCCTATTAAACTCCAGAGGTTACATTAGAATGTCTGCCTCCCAGAGGCACACACTGGCTCTTATTCCTTGGAAACTTTGTTCTCATCCATTAGGTTCCTACTGTGGTCAGAATGTTCCCCCCCCAAAATTATTATTCTCTTTTCTTTTTATTTTTATTAGTAAATGTTTGCAGTGCATAATGATTGCATTCATCATGGAGAATTGGTACCTGTACATAGCACAACTTAATTCTTACACCCCCTTCCCTTCCCCTACCTCCATCTCTTTCTCTCTCCCAAAAATTCTTAGATTGAAACATAATCTTCAGAATGCTTATCTTAGTTACTCTTCTCTTGTTGCTGAGACAAGATATGGGACACTCAAAATTAAGGAAGGAAAGGTTTATTTAGTTTACAGTTTATAAAGGTTTCAGTCCATAAACAGCTGGCTCCAACACAGGGTGGCGTGGGAGAGGGGCAACAGTTCATGGCAGTGGAAGACAGCAAAAGCAACAAGAGCAAAAAAGGGGGAAGCAAGCCTGTTTTCCTCCCTTATATTGTATGCAGGCTACCTGCCCTAGGGCAGGTGTAGCACTCACAGCCCACTCCCAGCACTAGACAACCAGCCAATTACAAACTCTAAATTCAGCCCCCTCTGAAAAGCTTTTCCTCCCATGACTACATGAAACTTTGAGTGACATCTAGACACAAACCATAACAGTGGTGATATGAAGAGGTAGGGCCTTTGGGAAGTGATTTGGCAGAGCCTGCAAGAATGGGATTAATTCCCTTATAAAGCAGGACTGAGGGAGCCTTTTGGCCATCTATCATGTGAGAATGCAGTTAGAAGGCACCATCTTTGAAGCAGAACCCTCACCTGAAACTGAATCCACTAGCACCTTGATCTTGGGCTTCCTAAACTCCACACTGTGAGCAACACATTCTGTTGTTTACAAAGCGTTTTATCATAGCAACCCAGAGACAGCTCCTACTTGCACTTGGTGACCAGGCTGACATGGAAGACCCAGGAACAGCGGGCTCTATCCCTATCCCAAAGCACGAGTGCTGTGCCCACTGGTCTTTTTTAAATCACTGACAAAAGCCATGTGGGGGATGTACTAACTAGTCACATGTCTTGTGAAACAGTAACTTCGTGAGTAACAATTTCTCTCTAACATCCAGTATGCTAGTTAGAAAGTCCTCCGTGGGCCTTTCCACAAGGAAATGGGCTTTTGGATGAGGCAGTGCACAGAGGCAGAGGGGAAAGTTCAAACGGGTTGAGCATACAGAGATTTTCCCCAAGGTTCTGCCCACCTCCACTGGTAGTGAAGGCCCACACTACCACTACTTATCAGAGAGAAGAAAGGAAATGCGAAGGAGAAGAAGAGGAAAGGAAAAGGAAGGAAAGAGGAAAGAGAAAAGGAAAGGAATGACAGTCACCAAAGGCGCTGTCCAGTGTAAATGCATTTCATCTTGAAGCTCTTGAACCACCCTGGAAACTCGCATCTAGAGTCAGGACATGTTGGAATTCTAGATACACTTCAGTGTGTCCATGGATTCCCGATGTTTACAAACACAATTAGTATGAACTGTTCTAATCAGAATTGTACAAACACTTGTCACTCAAGTTGTCACTTGAAATCTGCTAGGATGGTAACACGTTTGCTGTAGGAATTGTTTTTGACATGCTCCAAAATGTAAGGGGCTAAGTGTGGTTAGAAAGAAGCTCTAAAGACCATCTGAAGTGTACCCGAAACTTGTGCTGTGAGCCCCTCAATCCAAAGGCACAACATAGGAGGACTTGAACATCCTCTTAACTTCTTAAAGTGAGCCTCAAAATACAGAGTGAGCCTGCAAACCACCTCCATGCCCCAAGTGGGCTCAGACAGTCCACCAGCTGTGAGCTGTCCGTCAGCATCTTGGAAAAGGATCTTTTCACCTTCAGCTGGCACTTTGTCAAAATAAAGTAAGAAGCCCTGTGCCAGGTCTGTACCGGGAGCAAAAGTAGGTTGAAAAGCTCAGAAGCACTTAAATTCAGTTTCAAACTTCTCAGAAATATTTCAAACACATAGCAGTAGAAATCATGTAAAAAATGACACAGGTGAGACAGACCTCTCTGTTTGAATATCTCAGTCACTAGTGGTGATTGAAATACAATACACATAGATCCAAAAATTAAAGGAATCCCCAGGTGGACCTCTGCACCCCAATAATTCTCATAAACAGTCCCTTCATCTACAGAACCATGCACATGAACCTTGAATGAAGAGGTGGCTGTTGAAGTCCTGAATAGTGGGCTGCAGTTCACTTTATATAAGCCCAGAAAAACTTGCTAATTCCTAAATTTGAACAATCACAATTATCAGGTATGGTTGACTCAAAAATATCCAAGTCAAGTATGAAAAAGAATAGCAAACCTATAAAATACTAAATCTATATAAATCTTTCCTGGAAATGGACACAATTTCCAACACTGAAAAGCAGGCTGGGTGCTTTTAAGATCACATAAATCCTCTCAACATTCACCTCAGCACACGCTGAATCCATGGAGAAAATAAAAAGAATTATTATATTTTAATGGCTTGGGGATTGGCATATTTTTTAAAGAAAACACCACTCTTTGACCCTGAAACACGCAGGCCTGCTATGCTTGCAGGTGAGGATGGGACAGTTCCCCAGTACACTGCTAGGTCCACGGGAGCTGAGTTATTGGGATGTGGAGTCTAGGAAAAAGAGGCTTCATAGCGAGCTGTTAGCAACACTCTTTCCACAGTTTGGGTCAGCATGGGCATCCCTGAGTTGGGTAGGACACCAGTTATACTGGCCCTTTTCTGCTCCATTTTGGTTTAATTTTCCAAAAAAAAAAAAAAAAATACAGTCACTTATGAAGCTTATGAAAAAGAGAAACAATAGGAAATCCAACAGCTCAGAGATTTTCCCACCAGCAGCACTGGCACCAGTGAGCAATGAGGTGACCTGTGCTGGACCCTCCTGTGGTGTCAGCGTCACACCTCCATGAGTGTTGACCACCCCCGTGCACAGGCTGGGCTGATTTGTCAACCCAGCCTCAGTCCTGCCCACGCTTTGTGAGTGCAGGCTGGAAGTGGCTAAGACTGGACACTGCCCTTAAACAGTTCAACCTCTAGGAGGTGGAGTGAGGCAGGTAGAGGGAGGAGGAACAGTCCCTGTAGTGCCCTCCTTGTCTGGCCAGCTGCTTCCAGAAGCACAGGTGCATGCACAAAGCACACATACACGTACATATCATGTACTTGCATAATCCCGATATACACAAGGCCTAGGCCTCCCTTCTTGCCTGCTGCACACTGAGCCCAGGCAGGTGTTAAGGCAAAAGGCTCAAAGGAACATGCCCTGTGGCCTGTGAACACAGCCAGGCAGGGAAGCCCTCCTTCCCACTGCCGCGGCTCTTGCTGGGGATGAAGGTCTCTCCACCAGCTGCAGGTCTCCCAGCCCAGGAACCCCTTTTCCCTTCACCTCTCCCCTGGAAGAGGGATTGACTCAGCCAGTGCCAGCCTCACTGTATGCAGCCAGCCCTGCAGGAGCCCCTGAGCCCTGCATGGACTTCTTGAACAATCTCTTTTCCAGTATCTTTATGTTTTCTGCCAGCTCCAGAAGATGCACAGTTCTGCTTGGTGAGCTGGGTTCATACACAGCCCTGAGTATACCACCTAGAGTAACAAGTGTAATAGAGAAAAAGCGTGCCGAGTGAGGTGGTACACACTTGTAATCCCAGCACTCTGGGAGGCTGAGGCAGGAGAATCACAAATTTGAGCCCTGCCCCAGCAATTTAGCAAGATCTTGTCTCAAACAAACAAACAAAACATTTAAATGAGGGCTGGGATATAGCTCAGTGTAAAGAACCTAGATTCAATCCCTAGTATCAGAAAAGAAAAAAAAAATAAAGGGAAAGATGATGTCTTACCCGAGGTCCAGGCTTCCCAGGCAGGCCACTTTCTCCTCGTTCCCCCGGCTCTCCCTGACAGGAATATGACACGGTGTTAAGAGGCAGGAACTCTGCACACTACTAAGTGTAGGTGGGTAAGAGAAGGCCACTGGCCCTCGGCTGGTTTCTGTGTCTGGGATTTTTTCTTGTTTGCTTGCAGTCCTGGGGATTAAACCCAGTGCCTCCACACTAAATTACAACTCCACCCCTTTTCTATTTTTTATTTTGAGCCATGGTCTCATTAACTTACTAAATTGCCTAGGCTGGGCTCAAAATTGCCAACATCCTGCCTCAGTCTCCCAGAATGCTAAGATCATAGGCAACATCACTTGCAACATCACTTCCTCCATTTTAGGTGATTCTGAACTGTTCCATGCGGTTGTCTAACCCCGGGGAACGAACACTGCGGTCTGTACCACCTCCTAAATTCCATATTCAACAGCTTTAATTGTGATTAAAAGTACATACTTTTACAGAAATAGCACTTTTCATAATGAGAGTAAAAAAAAAAATATTACATAAATGTTTTTGAGAAGACAAAGTACTTGGTTATCTTTTGAAAGACCAGTGAGAAGAATGGAGAATGTTTATATAGAAGATCCATGAAATGAAGTTAAAACCATATTTATTCTGCAATTTGTCATGGAACAGTTGAAACAGTTCACTTTCTAAGTTTATGAGAAAAGCAATGAAGCTTCCCATAACATTCAAAAGTCGCCTATACTAGGCGCCTTTTAGCACTGTCACCTGCCTACTTCAGCCTATGCATGTTTGCTGGGGAAGAATAAAGACCAGTTGTTAAAAATGTTTGTTGCATAGTTGTATGAGTGCTGATTCAAAATATCTAAACTGTGACTTTGTTTCCCCACCTGATGACCTTTAACCTTTACTTTTACTTTAATACTCCTGTTATAACAAGCCCCACTGAAATGTTTTTGAAACGCAAGTCTCTGATATTAACAAGAGTATCACAGTTTTTCCTCCTTACAAACAAAACAAATATTTATAACTGATGGATTTTAAAGCCTAAAGTCTCCAAGGCTGCCAAACCCCTCCCCAGTTACTTCAGGAATAAAGAGCTCTCCTCTATCTGATCCCATAAATCCAAACATTTCAACCCCAGTAAGTCTTAACAGACGGCCCGGGAGATGAACTGATTCTGGAAGTCTTTCAATAGTCAAGAATCTCTCTGGTGCTTGTGCATCTGGTTTCCAAACTCATGACACCCATGAGCACCAACCTTGGATCCTGGCAGGCCTGGAGGGCCATTCAGCCCATCTCTTCCAGGTGGTCCCTGGGACAAGAGAGGAAAGAAATTAAAGTAATATAAAAGGCACACTAGGAAAGCACTGTATTCAGTTGTTCAAGCCAGGAACTGATTCTGTAGCCAGAGACTACAATGCCCAGCCCTCGCTTCCCTTTATCCGTCCAACCTCTCCCCAGAGCAGCCGGGCTCTGCCAGGACGGTGTTTCCTTATGCTTTCTGCATGACTGAAACAAATTCCCCACTCTGATGCAGCTCCCAGTTCCAGTTCCCCAGACATTCAAGGCAGGTAAGTGGGGAAGGAGGGTCTAGAGAAGCTAATGCCCAGGGTTCCATTTCCATTCTCAGCTTCCAGAGGTCCCCGATGTCGTCTGTGCCATTCCTAATCTTTTCAGAGCCTCTTTGCCAGCACATTCCTCTCTGCTCATCATGCTCTTCTTTCTTCTTCCAGCCTCCTGGCATGGTTGGGCATTCCTGCCTTTCAGTGCTGTGGGCAACCTAGAAGGGCTCTGTGCTGGATTTGCTGATTCACCCTCGTCATTACGATGTGACAAGACTGATGTTACTGACCCTGTGTCTCCAACCTGGGCTGGTGGCGAGTGGAAGGAAGAGCTCCACCTGCACAGAGCAAGTGTCTGGGCATCAAGGCCTTGGGAAGGGCAGGAAGAAGGCTTGCTGGAGGGCAAAGTCTACTTAGATCCATGGAAGCATGACCTTGACCAAGACCAAACACCAAAGTCACAACTGTGCTTCATACATCAATCGTGATAAAACTATAAATTTTTTCAAACTCTTTGATCCTACAACAGCCTCTCTCTTCTGAATGTTCACACTGCTACAACCACTTGAATGAACGCAATGAGTCCGGTGAGATGAAAGTGTTCACGCTGTCACATGGCCGTCACTGCTGGACCAGTTTATTGGTGACAATGCAGTTGATCGTAATGTTCTTGGACGATGTCTTGGTGACAGTGTAGTTCACCTGGGGTGCTTTCTGTATTCACATCAGTTTCCCTGAGTGCATCTCACAACCCTGAGTGTGTGTCCCATGCCCTTTGGTGCAGCGCACTGCAGCTCCACAGAGCTCAGCTGCTGGTGTGGCACTGACCTCTGGCCCTGTCTCCTGGGGGTCTTGATCCATGCCCACCAGCACTCTGTGGCCAGGAAGACAGAAGAAAGCTGCCATTGGTGGCACCATCAGCTTTGCTCTTCCTCTCTCTCCACATGTCTAGACCTCTTTCAGTGCCCTAAGCTCTCCTTATGTGGCTTCTCCACCAGTAGCTCCAAGGGGAGCCTTGTCATAGGAGATTCCAGAGTGAGCAGAGACCCCAGGGCAGATCACTGGGTCTACCTAGCACTTGGTCCCATGATGCCAGAGTGTTGACAGGCCCCTCTCTTGGTCCACCGTGAAGAGCTGCATGCTACCAGTCCAGGAAACATGTCTACCTTTAACTGCACAGTTCCAGGGTGGCGTTCATGCTGGCTGAGCTCTACCCACAGGATTCAAGCAAGCTGAGGCTAGAGACCTAGTGATCTTCTCAGTTTGCAGGCAGAAGAACACATTCAGGATAATTCAGGAACCCTGAGGGAGGAGCTAGCCATACCCCATCCCATGCCCTGCAACGTGACATTTCTCAGTTTCTGTGCCCAGTATTTCTTTTACTCTCTGGGTTGTCCTTAAGGACAAATGGTCATAGTCTAAGAAACAAGCGGTTTTGGGATTTGTCTTTGGGTAAGAAGAATGAGGTGGTGGCCTGGAGAGTCTGTTCCCTATCTGCACCCTGGCCAGGGCAGAGTTGGGGTAGGGCAGTCCCAGGAAGCAGAGATGGGGGAATGGCCATAGAAGAGACAGCCAGGCCGAGCACTGGGCCTTAGAAACCACTGGGTCAGGGAAGGAGCTTGGGGTCAGCTGCAAGGACTGAGCTCATTCCTGATAAGGAGGCATGGGGGAGAGGGAGACATGAGCAGAAGATGTCCCAGGATACTCACAACATGCCCAGGAGGCCCAGGTTTGCCCGGGAAGCCAATCTCTCCAGGTAAACCCTGAAAACAGACAACATGGAGGCCGTTAGCAAGAATGTACAGAGAGGAGATTCATGTCCCAGCTTGGTCTTGGCACAGGCCCGGGCCTCTGGTTCAGATGAGACTGTTTCACCCTCAGTGCTGGCCATTTTGAAACACACAACTGTCATCTCTCTAGAGGCGTCATGTTCACAGCTTGTACGATCTGCAGCTGGGGTCCACCGTCCTATTCTCCGCTACTTCAGATCAGCGGAACAACCATCCTACAATGTTCAGATTCAGAGTCCTGGCAGGACCGCTGGACTCATTTCCCCAAGCCCAGTGTGGGGTTTGCCTCTCCCAGTGGGTAAATGTGATCTCTGCCTGCTCTGCCGCTGTTCCCCTGTGCCCCTGTGGGGATAGTTTCCCAATTTTCTACTCTACAATGGGAGGGTAAATGTTCACATATACTTGCCCTGGTCCTCTGTTTTGTTTTAAAGCCAAACTATAAACTACTAAAGATGCCTGACCTGGCCAAGAGCCCCTCAGGCCTCCCACACACAATCTCTGGAAGCCACCAACCAAAGTACTACACTGACTCGTGTGCTATTTTGTCATCAAAGGGGTTCAATGACTTGGGGGTGCTCACGAGAGGGCCCCTCCTATCTGTGCTTCTGCACTGTACTCATAGAGAAACTGCAAGCCTCTACAGGAGAAGAAATCCGTGGCTCCCACCAGCCAGGAACCCCCCATCCAATGGCCCTGGTGAAGGATAATCAAAGCCAGGCTCACCGGCGGGCCTCCAGGTCCAGGTGGGCCTGGAACACCAGGGGCTCCTGAGGGACCCTGTAAAGAGAGAACAGGGGTGGTTATAAATATGCACAGAGTCGCCTCCTGGTGACAGCTATCATTTGAGAGAGAAAAAAAGGAAAGGGGCACAGGGACAAGATGGGGCTTTAGCTGGATTTGTAAGGCCTACTTCAAACAGGAAGGAACAGAGAGGAAAAAAAAAAAAAAACCAACCTGAAATCAAATCTTCAAACTTCTGAGTGTCATACTAAGGTGCTTGGTATTTAACACGTTGTCATATCCATTTTGCAGTACATTTAACGTGTTTGGAAGCACACACCTGCACCCAGTGGGTGAGCGCATGTAAAAAGGTCTGACTGATTCCCAATCATTAGCCATGGACCAGCGCTGGAGGTCGGGTCAGAACCATCTGGAGTGAACCATTCGCAGCTTCCATAGGTCCTGGGTGAGCCACACACTTTACCAGTGAGACCTCCCCTCACGCTCCATGGAGACCAGTCTCCACAGCCTCTTGCCTGGCCTGGATCCCACCACTCCAGTCTTTCATTCTCTATCCTCACCCTCTGGGCCACATTCAGGGGCAGTAAATGTCCCTGAGCAGTGCCATCCACGAGCAGAAACCAGGGCAGCCCATTTCCAATGAGAACAAGGGATGGGAAGGTAAATGGCTGTAGACAGGCAACTATTATTGGAAAAGGGTACGTGTCCCAATAAGCCTGTGTCACAGAGCAGTGGTCTGGGAGAGGCCAGGGGTCAGAGAAGGCTCTTATATCTCAAAACAGCAAGAGAAATCACCGCTAGGCCAGGTAGACAAGGGTAGGTGGGACCAGGCTTGTGGGGAGCAGTGAGAGTGTGGGTACTTGCTTTGAGTACAAGAACAGCTCCCTGTGAGCACACAGGAGGCCCTGGGGGTGCCAGGGTGGAGAGAGGGGCTTCGTAGAGGTCATGGAGTCAGTGACGGAGATCCGGGAGACAAACGTCAGTCACACATGCATGGAGTAAAGCAGCTCACAGTCTGGAAGTAACGGGGAAGGCTGCTGGACACCAGGCCACGAGCCAGGGCCTGGTTAGAGCTATACAGGAACGGAGCCCTTGGAGAGGGTGAGGACTGATACGCCCCACTCAGCAACCCCACATCTGGAATACTCAGTTATGCTCAGGAATCTTCAGTGGTCCCCATGTCCTGATGATTGTATCCTGGCTTCTCTGCCTGACGCTCTGAACTCCTCCAGGTCGGTTCACAGCCCTCCTCCCCGTCACCTCTACCGCCGCACACCACCTCAGGCGCTGTGGAGGATGTGCATTTCCCCAGGTGCTTTCTGGATCAGCCCTCTTGCCTTCCCCTCTTCCCTCTGCGGCTCCACCTTTGTACAATGGTCTCCAGTTCCCCAGGTGAAGTCAATCTCTCCTTACTCAATGCTCAAGGCCAGTGTAACTGTTTATCTGGCCCACGGACCCTAGAGCATGGCCTTTCTTGTTCCCTCTGTACCTCCAGGGCTGGGCACAGAGCAGAGCTCAGGAAGTATTGCAAGCCGCCTTAAAGGAAGAGCTAAGGACAATGGCAGGACATGGCCACCAGAGGGCGATACACACTAAAGGATAGCAGAGGTCGCTGCATCCCGGAACTGTTCCCTTTCTTTCCTCTGCGTGGCACAGGTGGGTCAACAGTATTTTCTAAAGGACTGACTTTTTGACAGCACTTTGACTTAGGTTTCTCTGTTGCTCACTTAGACCTGGAGGATCTCGGGGTAACATCTGACCTTTCCGAGGTGTCTGCTCTAAGCTGGAGGCCCTGAGCGGCCTGCAAAGTGGGACCAACCCAGGCTCCTCCCTGGGGGATGAGGGCTGGAGAAGAGGCAGGGAAGAAGGTCTTGCCCCGCCCCTCTGTGCATGCCATTGACTTTGTTGCTCCAGCAACGAGCGGGCCCAGCTCACATCAATGGGCTCCCTTGCTCCTGAAGGTTCCTTCAGCGAGAGCTCAGAGGATCTTCCAGCGGGTGACTGCTATCAGATACTTCAGGCATGTCGGATGCCGTAGCACCCTAGGCCACAGAGCTTCTCTTTGGGGCCCTCTCAGCCACACTGCACCATCTGCCAGCAACAGAGGCGCATTTCCTTTGCTTCCCTCCTGGCATTTCCAGTGAATGCTGATGGCACCTAGAAATAACTATGTCCAAAATCAGACTCCTAATGAATCCCATCAGATCCTTCACCTCTTGCAAATGCTCCAGTGCTGCTGCTGTTTGCAAAGCAGGGTATAACTGCAAACCACCTGAGGGAACCTCAGTGATCATCTATGGACATGGAAATGAGACCTCCTTGTTTGACAATGGAGAAATAAACAAGCCCAGAGAGAATCAGGGCTCCACCGGGACTCACAGCGCCAAGCTCTCAAGGTGAAGGAGTATGTGGCTCCTCAACAGTCTGGCCTTTATAGAAGCACCTGGAGGGCTCCTCATAAACACGGGGGCACAGCCGCCCTCCCTCAGGCCCACAGCAGCAATTCTGGGGCACGTGGCAGAGGTCAGGGGCCCCTGAAACATTAGGTGATTCTAATGAGCCTCAGGGTTTGGGAATTAGTCACCTAGGCCATCACCCCCTTCTGGGACTACCAGGAAGGAGCAAAACCAGGGAGAGAAAGGAGAAATGCAAGAGGACAGGACATGGCAGCCGCTCCCCAGCTGGTGCAGACTCGGATCATCCATCCCTGCACTGATCCTGTGAGCCAGTTCCTTTTGGCCCATGCTGCAGAGAAGGCAGGGACCCTTGGAAGGGAATTAACTGACAGTCCACAGAGCTGTCACAGGGACAGCCCAGACCCCATCAGTCCTCCCAAGTCTCACAGCCCAGCCGTGGTCTCCTGCCCCACCACCACCATAGCCCCATGCTATTCCAAAACAAGAGCAATGGGATGCACTAAAAATTCTCTGCATATGAAGTATGCTGAGAATGCAGGGCCTTGAATACAGGTTGGGAGATCTCTGACCCCAACACCCGGTTCCCTGCGGTGCACACACTGCCACTTTAACCAGGGTTTGGATGATCTGCCGTTCAGTGCTACAAGCTGGGAATACTCATTACACCTAACAAGTGCAGGAGAGCGAGTGAAAGCGACTAGAGGCAGCTGAAAACAGCTGTCCACAGTCTGTAACTCACTTCCAGGAGGCATCACACAAAGGGCAGAGGATTTGCCCCCCAGCCTCCTTTCCAATTTACAAAGAGCATCTTGTAAGTCCAGGTGGAAAGTGTGGGGGACAAGAGGAAAGAGCAACCAGGATGTAGTCCCAGGCAGCCACCCAGCCTTGGGGACCTGCTATGATGGTCACATGCGGCCTCCGGACAGCACAGCAATGCACAGAGGCACAGAGGCTGTGCACAGAGTAACCACCTTCCCTTTGGAGGTTCCAGCCTTGTCCTGTGATCCATCACCTTCTGCAGCTGGGGCCTCAGCTCTAAGAGAAACTAAGTTTATTTCTGATTCAGCCTGTGGAGAGGTGGAGGGCCTACAGGGCAGGTGCAGGGGCTCTTCCCTTTTGAAGGGACCCTCAAATTGCAGGTGACTATTTCTATTCCCTCCAAAGAGGAAACTGAACTTTTTAAAGCTCCTGTTACATGCCTGGCATTCTACCAGGTCTCCACACACAATTCTCCATGGTCCATGGCCATAACACACTTGTCTCCCAGTCCTTGTGCGAGCTATTGAGCCTGGGGTCCAGCTCCTGCTGGGGAGATGGAAGATCAGAAGGGACCAGAAAGGCCCAGAACAGGTGGGGACATGGGCATGAGAGGTCAGCAACCAGATGACATCTCAGACCCAGCCTGAACGAGGAACAAGGCTGGGCAGGTCCAAAGAGACCACTGGGCAGCACAACCTTGTCTCAGCCAGGCCCATGACTGTCACTATCATAGATTTAGGATTCGGCATTTGCCGACAGGGGTTACAGGCAACTAGCAGGCTACAGGCAGAAGGAACTTTAGCTAGTTCCTTGGGAAATTCAAGTGTGCTCATTTCAGCAAAGGGTTGGTTTGCGCCCAATTAACAAAATGACGAGAGGGAATGAAGCCTTCCACTGATAGTTCTGCCTCCTCTCTGGGTCAGGGGATCTTCGTGGTTCCCTCCCCTGCACCCTAGCACATCACACTGATCACTCACTACACCCATCCCAGGTCATCAGGAACCTCAGAACCCTGGGAGGGATCTGCAGCATTCCTATGGACAACGAAGGGAGCGGACGGGAGGACAATGTTGCCAGGAGAACAGGGCCCATGTGCAGGAGCAGGACAAGGGACACAGACCTCCACTAAGCTAGTTTCTTCCCTGCACTCAAGCAAGCCTGCAGGATGGTCTGGAAATCATAGTTTTTCAATTTCTTTTTTAAGTAAATCTTGGCAATTATTTTGAAAACTTAAAGCAAAATAGCTGTGCCAAACAAAGGAAGTACGTCTGTGGGCCAAATAAGCTGCTCAGGTTTGTAATCTATAGACTCGAGCTCCTCCATCCCTCAAATGGACAAACTTGTTGGGTTTTGGAGACAGATGCCCACTTGGAACGAGATAGCGGAGGTGCAGGCTCAGGGACTGGCGCTGTGGTCTGTGCCAGAAAGTACCTGAGCTGATACCAGAGGTATCAGCCTGAGTGAACTCCATGCTGATTTTGCCCAACTGGGGTGGGTAAAGAAACAGCCTGCATGGGCTTTGATGGGAACAGGAAATTCTCCAGGGATGGGGAGGGACAGGCTTGGGTTAGGAAGGGTGAATGATGGGCTCAGGTTTGATGGGTTGAGTTAAAGAGTTTTCAGAACCTGAGGAGAGGGGAGAGAGGAAGACACACAGAGAGGAAGAGACAAGGTAGGCACAGAGGGAAGGAAGGGAAGGAGGGAGGGAGACAGATAGACAGTGGGAAGGTGATTGCAAAGAGTGCTGGTATACCCGGTGCTGTGGCTGAGCGCTCACTCCAGGCAAGACTTTCGCATTTTCTACGTAAGATGATTCTCCACAACAGAAGCCAAACACATCCTCACTTATTTTTTTTTGGA